TCCTTTATGAAGGCATAGAGCCTTTACTACATGAAAATGAAAATTAATGAATACACTGTGTACAGTAATTTACCTGATAAGACAGACCTCAGAAAAATACTTTATGAGGCATAAAGCTGTCTATAATAAAAATTAATTAACTAAGGATTTTTTTGCGCTGCCAGGGTGTGGCCGAGTTATCTGGACTGCCGGGTTATCGAGTGCCACGTTTTCGAGACTCTACTGTATATTATTTACATTAAAAAAAAAAAATTAAATAGATCCATTATATGCATATAAAAGTAATTAAGTGAGATAATGAAATATTAGTTTTTTCTAAAAATGATAAAAAATAAAAACATCAAAAGTTTGAAATTAAATTTACTTTATAAATTCTTACCTATATGTTTGATGTAAATTAGTAATAAAACTAATTTACTTTGATACAATATCCAACTAATTATTATAAAAACTAATATTTATTCAATAGCTACTTGTAAACAGTATCTATGTGATATTATCATACAGAAACTTTTAATAGTTTCATTCTAAGCTGTATATAATTGTTGGGCTAATGTAGCTTAAAATAAAGAAGTTTTAGACAATTTTCATTCAACTGAAGATGTCAAACAAAGCACACACATCTCTAAAGAAATCACTTTATTTGGAATAACAAAATCACTAATAATTAAATTTAACTGTGGAGAAGGTAGAAAATGTTTATAGGATAATAAATATTACTTCTCGAAAGCATAAGGTGTTTGAGTCAAAGTATTCAAAGAATCTGAGTGTTTATTGAAATTAAATTTAATGCAAATTAGAGAGAATATAATATCAGGTAAGAAATCGGATTAATTTTCAGTTAAAATTATCAACTTAACATTGAAAACCAAATTCTATCATCATATATAATTACAAAGCACTTTTTTCTGTTAAAAAAAATCACAATATACAATTTAAAAAAGGAACAAATTGAATTTTTTTGATCAATTACCATACTTTTCTTCTGTTATGTGTAATAGATGGGAAATTAAAATATACCCATTTTTAAAGTATAAATTAATATTGGAATACTTACTCCAGAATTACTCTATATCTCTACATAGGGAAACATATCAAACAATAAGAGCTGAGATAAGCTGTAAATATGTAGTATCTCTCACTTATGACTGTTTTTACCTGTCCATTAAGGAAATTATATAATAAAAAACATATTTCTAGGTCTGATCATTCTTTACATTATACCATTACTAATTTAGTGCTGATTTTTTCCATAAGTTTTAGATATGATTGGATATAGTGGTGAATATCTAGTTTTGCAAAACACAAAGTAGAGTCTATTTTTTTCCCTATAATTTTGAATTTTTGTAGAACTTTTGTAAACATATTTTAATTTAGAAATGTTCAAATTACCAAATCAATTTTATTGAGAAAATCACAACTGAATTCTTATATAACTAAAGAAATATGCTTGTTATTTGGTACTGTTGAAATTGTTTATTTTGTGCACTTTATAACTGTTTATTTACTTTTCAGTATAGTTTTTTTTTAGTTTGCTGTTATATTTTTTATATATATTGATTTTATGTTATTAAATTATACTTTTATGATTTGAAAAATGAGTACTTTGTCTCTTAGAAACTTTGAAGTTATTGACAAAATTTCTTAGTGGTAGTTCAGAGATTAAAGGTATTCCCAATTTCTAATCTATTACTTATGTACAGATTTTGAAATTTCAATCTTTTAATGAATCATTTTTATTTCATTTTCTGACTGTCCTGTAGGCAATAACAATCTTTTTATCGTATCTATCATGGTTCAGCCAAGCTAAAATGGAAATAACCAAACAGTAAAAATAATGCCTAAAATTATTTTAAAGTTTGTTGAAACTTTTATTTTTGAAGTTATTTTGAAGATATTTTAAAGTTTGTTGAAACTTTGAAAGTTTTATGTTGAAACTTTTAACATATTAAAACTTTTAATAAGTCAGCTACATAAATTATTTCCATTTGTTTGTTTAGTTTTATATCTTTCACTATTTTCATTATGTTAAATTTTATAATGTAAGTGCATATTTGTAAGAATAAAATGAGTAAAAAATTTTTAGGTAATTACTATAATAGTATAATGCATTGAAAATACATCTAAGAATAATTTTGATTTTTTTAATTTTTAATTTAAAAATTATAAACCTATTTTCAGAAAAATTGAAAACAACAATTCACAGAATTATACATCAAACTAGAGAAAAAAAGCATTAAGATAAACTAAAGTTAGGTAGTCAAATGCTTTTTGTCTTTTACAGCATCTTTATAAAAAAATAATCCCAAGCCAATAGGAAATAAGTTGATAAACAGTAGTAGAACCAAAAATGTTTGAGAAACTAAATGAAAAATTCATTTAAGATGCTAAAAACATTTATCTAAGGACTATATGAAAATAGAAAAAAATTTGTTTTAATTGGGAAACAAAAACAAGAATACATAGCACTTTTGGAATTTTAGAATGCAAGTTTCTGTAGTTTATATTGATAGTATGTATATATGCATATATGCATACAAATTCTAATGAAATGAAGCAAATAAAAAATAAATAATTCAAATGGACAATATAATACTAAAAATTGATATGATAAATGGTACACATTTTGAGTTATTAGATTACACTAATTTTCATCAAAGCCATCAAATGAAAATGTAACTTCAAACCTTTAGTGTCAGATATAAGACTTATGGAACAAGGTAATGTTTTCAGCTATTTTTAGTAGATGTCATCAGATTACATATTCACATCCTACGATTTCAAAATGTAGTAGCACAAGCCATTAACACACATCAAAAAGTTTTAAACTTAAAACCCTTTGATATCACATGTCAACAATTTGTGCCATGATTTTCTAGAACTATTGAATTTGAATGTGTAATCCAATGATAGCTACTAAAAGCATTAGTTTGTTCTATAAATCTGTTGCTGGACATAAAAGATTTAACTTGCTTTTTTTAATTTGCATCCAGTATAATGTATGCTTAACTAAATTCTTGTCATTTAATTAATAAGCTTAAACATTGCAACACATTTTATCATTTTTTTCAATAATATAAAGCATTTTCATTTGAAATCTTTGACTATCATTCATGAGCCACACTTCTGGTTTTTGAAAGCAGCACATGGCTTATATACTGAGTAAACACAATACTTTGAATGATTTGATTTTGGCATGTACATCATCCAAAGTTAAAAATCACTCAAATTTAACATTTTTCTATAAAAAATATAAACTTCAATTATCAAAATTTTTGTTTTAATTTTACAAGAATTACTATGTAAAAATTAAATATAAATATATAAAATTATTATATTATAATATCTTTTCTAATGAATTTATTTCATATTAAACATACTTTAAAAAGTTCAGAAACAGAGAGAGGATAAAGGAAAAATGCTTTTAACATATTGAATTATAAAAAAATGAACAAATTTTCAGCAAAAAAATAAGTTAAAAATTTAAATAATTACTACTGCACATTTAGATACTGAAGTAAATTATAAAATATTCATTACCTGTTTCAAATCTCTCAATTTATTTTTACGACTATGTGAAGAACGACTGCCATCTAGAGAGTTTTCAGTATGAGGACTCTTCGAATCACCATCATTTTTTTGTTCATATTCTGATTTACAATCATCAGAATGGATATCTGCTGGTGAAGATGCATTTTGTCTCTCACTATTAGACACACTCTCCCTTTAAATTAATATTTTTTAAAATTAGTCCTTTTAAATTTATTTTTTTAAATAAATAAAATAATAATTTGATATAATTTGAACAACTGTCTCAATTAAATGTTGATCAAGGTAGAATTAAGTCAAAAAGAATTTATGAAAACTATGATAATGACATTTCATTACATAATAATAATTAATAAATATTTCTTATTAGTTAATGAAATATAGTTCTAAATATAAGCAATTTTGTAGAAACTTGCCTATCTGATGCTGAATCTGCTTCAGATTCACTTTTTGAACTTTGATGAGATTGTGATTTGACAGATTCTGAATTAGAATCAGATGCAGATCCAGAATCAGAATCACTTTCAGAACCTGAATCTGAACAACTAGAAGGGCTTCTTGAATTAGAATTCTGAAGAGAGCCATTTTCACTTCTTGTTTCATCAGCAACTTTTTCTTCTAAATCCTAAAATTAAAAAATTTTAAATTTTTATTTAAAATAATTTAACTTTACTAAAACTTCAGTGTTTTCAGTAACAAGAATTAAATATAAAAATTACATTTATATGTAATTTTCTATTATATTTCTAATATATCTATACATGTAAATTTTGAAAATAATTCTATCATAAAAAAACCAAACTGAAAAAAACTGAAATTAATATAACTATTAAATTGAAGCAGACAAATTGGAGAAGTATCCACTATTACTGAAAGTCTGTTAAATCAAATGTATTGTAAAAACATACATTAGTAAATAATAATTATAATGTAAAAACATAAATTAGTAAAAAATAAAATCTGCAAGATGTGTTAAATTATTATAATGTATAATTAAAAATAAAACAACATATATTGAGTAATTTATATTTATTGACTCTTTAATCCAAGCATTAAGTATGCTCTATTTGCAAATAAAAAGATTTAAAATTTTTCCCTTTAAATCTGTTAAATCAAGTGTTTAATATATTAATTTTTATATTTTATATTAACTTTTCAGGGACAAGAATTTGATGAATGGGTCAAGGTCAATTCTATTACAACTCTACATGGCCAAATCATTAACTAAAAAAATGTTAGAGATAAATGATCAAAAGTTACATGTTTAAATAACTCAAACCCATCAACCAGTCCACTACATTTCCACTAGATTATTAGCTAATTTTACATGATTTGCTATGTTAATATTTTCTCTTCTATTTATAGAACTTTCACCTTATATTATTTAATCACTGTGAATTTTCTAACATTGTTCATTGGTAAAATCTTCCTTACCAATTTATCGATTTAATTTACTTCACTTGAGAATTTTTTCTTTAATTTATTTTAGGCCATTCTTTTGTTTCAAACAGTTCCTGATTATGGCATTATGTAACTGCTGAAAACATTCAATTTCTTTATTTTATTAAAGTTACAGTAAATTAACACCAGAAACTAAGTAATTTTGCTTATTTTATGAATTAATAATCTTTTAGATTATTAAATATAAAATTTCTTAAATGAAAATTTCAAATTATATTTTTTTTATTTTTGTATATTTGAATCTCTTACTACCTTTTCTATAAAGTTATTACAGTTAAATAACTTGATATTTAAATGCATATGATTAGCTTTCAATACATTATATCTAAATGAGATATTTATTAAAGTTGTTTTTGAAATTCATTATGTTTTCTTCAAAGTACAAAACAAGAAGCAGACTATTAACAGATACTCATATTTAGAGAGTATCTCATTTTTTAATTGCATTAATATAGACTTGACTTGATACAAAATTAAGAGTCTTTTTTAACAACTTAAAAACAAATTACACCAAAAAATTAAATTAGTCAATTGAAAATACACAATCTAAGCTATTTTTTCTACATAGCTGCCATTCTTTCCTAAACACTTTTCCTAGTGAAAGAATGGGACAAAAATTTGCCATTTAATGATTTGAAAAAGTCCATGACATCATTTAAGAAGTCAAAAAGGTAAAACTCAGAGGATGCTAAGTCTAAACTATGTGCATGACGCATATACTCTAGCATACTTCCCATTCATATTTTTTTTTTTTAGCTAGTATTAAATCTTGTGTGCCATATGGGGAGTTATGTTATTGTGTAGCAGGTGTATCATTACACACATAGCCAGGCTAAATTTCATACTTTCTCATTAGTAATACTATTAACACATAAATATTAACCAAGACTATAACATAAAATTGTTTATTTGTAATCTAATAATCTAATTTGTGATTCAATTCTGATATTTTCCATCACTCATTAAGCACTTTAAACTATTTCTATACAATTCAATCAACCTAAAAATGACCCCAAATAAGAAATCATAATTTTATGAAAATAATCCACAGTGACCTATGTCCCACAGAAAATTGCTAAAATGGAATAAAAACCTTCTTACATAACTCATCTTATCGTCTTATCCCATGCTTCTAGAATGGCTGTTGAAAGCATAACACTGGTACTATGCATTTTAGAAGGTACTACATCAAACATTAAATCATTGTTTTTCTATTCCACTTCATTGTAGAAGTAATTATAAAATAAGTAAGAGCTAAAAAAGAAATTCCTAAACATTGGGTATCAAAGATACAAATGCCTACCAGATGACAAAAATTTATTTATGATATTGTTTTATTTCAGTTTTATTTATAAAACAATTCATGAAATTTATTGTTATATATTAAAAAAAATTTAGAAAAATTAAATAAAAAATTTTAATGTCAATAATATTGAATGACACAGATCTGAAAATAGATATACGAGTTCTTAGGGTAATATCAGGTCAGTCCATAAGTTCCTGTGTATTTTATGACGTTGAGAAAAATCTTGTTTTGCTATTAAAAATGCCAGTCTAATGTGATACTTTTTACACTGAAGTGTTAAATTGGATCTCATTCATATAATACTGTTCAGAATTGGAAACATTTCAGTTGTTTATTTTCGTTAAAATGGAAGTAACAGATGAATATAAGAGACATCTTTTATACTTTTTATTTTTAAGTGATGATAATGCTACAAATGCAGTCAAAAAATTAAATACTGTTCATAATCAAACTGTAATAAGTGTAAGGACTGCGCAGAAGTGGTTAGAAAAATTTAGACATAATGATTTTAGTGTGGAGGATAAGGCTCGTACTGGAAGACCCATTGACTTTGATGATGATGTCTCTCTGCACTAGTTGAAGCAGAACCATCTTTAACAGTTGATGAAATTGCGGAACGTTTAAATTCATCCCATGGAACTGTTCATAGACATCTACAACAAATCGGAAAAGTTTCAAAGCTAGGAAAATGGATACCACATGAACTGTCAATAGCTAACTGACAACAACGTCAACTGCTCAACTCAAAAGCTTCAACTGGGAAATTTTACCTCATCCACCATATTTGCCAGATATTGCTCCCAGTGATTATCATCTTTTTCGGAGTTTGCAGAATTTTTTAAAAGGAAAAACTTTTGAGGATGAGAACAATGTAAAAAAGGCTATTTCTGAATATTTTGATTCAAAACCGAAATCATTTTACAAAGACGGAATTAAAAAGCTACCATCAAGATGGCAAGAAATTGTACGAAATAATGGTGAATACATTATAGATTGAAATAAGATTTAATTAAAATTTTTCGTTGCTTTTTTTGTAGATAAAAATGCGCACGAACTTATGGACTGACCTGGTAGATGGTAAAAGTAGTTGACCATTTAAAGCTGTTTTGGACTTTGATATTTTTTATTACTATGTGTAGTAATGCAAAAAGCAAAATTCATATACAAAAATAAAATTTGTTCTATATTTTTCATGAAAAAAAAAATAACAACCACAGGCTGTTCGCCTGTAATTAAATTGAATCACCAATCTAGTAGTCAACTGGTGGGTAAAATGATCATTTATGCCACTTGACAACTGGATTTTCCTTCATTGAGAGCCTCACAAATGTGACAACTGTGAAAAAATAAGAGAGCTTAATAATGGGAATTTTGTAGAAAATACATGAAGCACAGAGTGATCATTATCTTCTACAGAACTTACAATGCTAGATTTTTTGGTACATGTGTGTTAATTTGAACTTCATAAGGTTTTTCCAGTTGTATGAGGTGTTTATGAATACAATTAGGAAGTACAGTATATTCTTTGTAGTTGTCATATTTAAATCTCTTTTATTTCAAGATACCTTGTATACAGATTAATCACACTCGTTTATATATATATATATATCTTGATCACAAATATCTTGAAATATATATATATATATATATTTCAAGATATTTGTGATTCCAACTAGTTGTGAATAATTTTTGCTAGTTAGACAATTCAGCATGTTAAAATGATTCACAATTTGCCGAACAAAAATTTGCCAAAAATAACATACTGCAAACACAATGTTCATTCCTCTTTCCATCAATAATCCACTTTCTGTACAAACTAATATAATAATTTTACTATCTTAATTTTAAGTTATTTTATTTTTACATTTATTATTAGATAAATAAAGCAAATGAAGCAATGGATAAAAATTTTCTCCTTGGATAGCCAATTCATTCAAAAAATGTGATTCCTTATATTTCTTTATTCAATAATTACATATATAATCAATCTGATAAACATTATTAATCAAATAAAACAGTCAGATTCTCATTGGGCTACAATATTGCTAATTAATTAATAAGATATTAATGAATTTGACTAGAGATAAAATGATAACCACCATTGTGTTAAATTTAATATTCAGAAACAATTTAATTTAGAATATTCTGGAAGAAAAGATTAACTTGGAATAGGACTCAACCCAAAATTCCTGCTTATTGTGAAAATGCATTACCAGTTATGCTATCTGGATCTCTGTTTTCTGTCTAATCAGACCAATTAATTTAATTTAGATAAATATTAATCATGTTTCTGGGTTTATTATTATATACAGTAGACCCCCTATAATTACGATTCCTATAAGACAGCGAAAAAATTGCGACGGTATCTGTAAAAAACTCCTATAATTACGTAAAACGTCATCGGGCAGCCAAACTACTTTCCGCGCCGTCAAGCGCCACGCTACGGAGAGATTACTATCGTCTGTACAGTATTATATATAAATTAGGTATTGTATATATAATTATATATTAACTTAATTTATTGTAACTTTATTATAATTATATATATATTTTCCGCCGCCTGGCGCCACGCTACGGAGAGTTTAGGCGAACTATCGTCTGTACAGTATGTAAATTAG